AACCCTCACAAATCAGAGCGGCAAATGCTTAAATTCTTTAGTTGACCTAAATCGTCAGTGATAGCTATCTTGTTTTGAGAGGGAGCTGTGTGCTGCAGCTCTCTTGATGCGTGACGCCAGTTTTTGTTTGATCCCTCCCGGGGCGGCACCACTGGTTGATGGGGAGGGGTGGGGAAGGGAAAGGCAGAGGAATACTCAAGGGATAGCTGGTATTTTGGTCTTTTCTGTCATCCGATGCCTGAGGCGTAATGTTAAGTCTGAATATTATTAGGAAATTTTGCGAGATAACCACACTCAAAATTGCTACTTTGTATCATTGTTAGTACCACCTTACACCATCCACCATTCATGCCTAAAAGTGTGCAGGACTATAAGGCGCTGTTCCGTCCCATCAGTGGCGACCCGCCTGGTTCCCCCAGGAGGATCCGTCCTGTCCCCCACCAAACATTCAGCGTCAATTAGCGATCGCTCCACTTTCATTACGACGCCCTTACTCTTGACAGTCAGCCATCCGACTAAACGCCTTTCAGAGATGTCTTTGATCGAGGCCGTTATCGAGGCCTGAACACATTCCTGCGCCGGACCGGACCGAGATGTGGCGTCTGAGGGCGAGGGCTGCGAACGAGAAATCTTTTATGGCCGGAGAATAAGCGCCATGAATCATGTCTCCTGTCGGCGGGGGGCGGCGCCGGCTTTTATAAAATTCTTCTCCTGCCGGCGTGGAAATGTTGCACCCGGAGAGGTCGCCGTGGGGGTCTGCAGGATTTCGGCCCCCCCGTTGCACGTTTTTATGACTAAATAATGGGGGAGTGGGCTGGGTGCGTCTCACGTCGAGATCGATCCCGCCAGCCCCGAAGACGCCACTTGTCGGCGGAAGAGGCGGCGCTGCGAGGCTTTATTCGCTGGCACGCGGCACCTGGATTGAACCGAGTCGTGAATCAATCGCCGGGCCGATGGCCGCTCTGGTGCCGGGCAATTTCGATCCTTCAAAAGCCCTTGTGTATCGCGATGAAACACGGTTTGAAACTCGGGCAACTCCATGGGAGAAATTGCTGAATGGTCTGTTTTCATGACGGATGAACGCTGGGGCTGCGCTACAGAGCGGTGAGTTGCTAATTACACCAGCAGCCATAACGCACCAATAAAAGGGCCATAACTTTCCGCTGAAAGCCCTCCATGGTTGGCACTGCCATCTGTGGGTCATCTCCTGAACCGCTCGTTCGGTCTAAAGGGAAAAATATCCTAGGGGCCATAACTCGAATAGTGCCGAGCCAAGCATCCCCCGCCATTACAAGTGACTAAGGATTAAGGATTGGGTTAACACACCATATTTATCCTGGCGTGTCTTTGAAAATGATTACGGTAGAGTATGCGGTGGACGATGCCATTCAATGCCAATTCCCAAGTCGTTCGGGATGCCATGCTTTTCGGCGCGACATGATGCTGCAAAGTAGACACGAAAACGTCTTCGAAGTCGCAGCATAGACGCGGAGCTCGAACCAACCATACCTATGCATATGGATAGAGAGGATCTGACCTGATCTCTGGGATAGGAAGGAATACACGAACAGGAACATGGACAGATCCAGCATTGAATCGTACGAAGGATTACGCCTGATCGGGGGCAAGTGCCAAAGTCGGTGTTAATCAGAGGTGTAGCCTAGGGCAAGATCACGGGGACCATGGCTCCTTCCCCTGAACCAATATATGCACACTAGGCACTAGTTGTCGTCACGGCTCGATCCACAATTCACAATTCATAGAATTTCGGCTGAAATTTGACAATTACCCCCCTCCCCCCCCCTTCCCCGCCCCACTTCCACTCTGAGAACAAATTTAGCTAGGTGCCTAATGCCGATCGAACTAAAATCAAACAAAACATTAATGAACGTTGACGTGCTTTCGACCATCTGAAAAGGAACATGACCTCGATAGTCGCCTTAGATACTTCCGCGCACACAGACGGAAAGAGTAGCTACAGATCCATCGCGTATGGGCAAGTGGGACGTCGTTTTGACAAATCTTCTCCCATCTCACCTACAAAACTTTTGAACTTGGCAGCTAAGCTGCTATATTTGACCTGGATCAGGCCTTCGATTTGTCAGCTGGGGCAGAACCGGTAGCTCACCATCACTCTACGAAATGACAGAGTCCCATCCATCACTCCGTCATTCGCGTCAACATCCAAACCGAGGTGTTGTTTGGTGTGTGTTTGGGGAGCCGAACCCTCTCGTATCTTTAGATTTTAAGATGAGGTGTATGGTGATACAGGAACAGAATAATCTAAAATCTTTCAAATTACTGATTAGGGATGTTAATCATTTCTGAAAGTAAAAGAAATATCCAGCGCATTTTGCGCGGGAGCATAATTTGAAAAAAATACTTCATTTTGAAAATGGAAGACACAGGAGCCGGAATGAAGGATAGGCGAACTCCTAACTACACACAATAAAACTTAATTTTAACCTTATGGTAGTGCACAAGAAAATTGGCTAAAAAATAGGCTTCGCCCTTCCATTTTTGGTAACTTGCTGTGCACTTGACGAAAGCCATTCTTAGTGTTTTAAAGCGCTTGGCATCAGCGTCGACGCAAATGGTGAGGCACGCCAACTAACCGCGCGAATCTTCCCTGAGAAATCCATCACAGAGCCATAATCGTAATAGTAGTCGGCAGCATTTGCAAGGTGTCCATTACAAAGCCGTTCCATAATCCACAGTCGCACGCTCATTGCGGGGCCGCCGCAGACGTGCTGCACAGCTCGTCTCTTGCCGGCCGGCTGTTGTTGTTGGGCTGGCTTCAGTCAGCCGCGCGGGCCGCGCACCCATCCGTCAGCGACGTCACGCTTATTTTTAGCCACCAGACACCCCTGTTTATAAGAGGTCAGCGCACCTACGCCCGCGTGTTGACACCGGCGTGGTGGAACTTCTCCGCGGCCCAAAAAACGAATTTGGGGCCTAATACGCCGGCGGATACGGGCGCGCAGCGTTTGAGTCGAGGCCCGGCCTGTAATCACTGTTGTTGTGGCTCGTTTGGGCGCTGTGGGCCGCTGTTGTCGATTGGTTCTCACTCGGCCGCGTCCCGCCAGGTCTGGCGACCGCCACCTAATCATATAGGTCATACGGAAAATTACGCCGCCCTGCGCCGGCCAAATTACCCCTTTCCTGGTCCGGCGGAACCGTCCATGCGACGCGCGGCGCTAAGGGCGATTTTCCCGCCGCTCCGGCCGCCGCGCTGGGCCGCCGCGGCCGGCTCCGTTTGGTCGGTGGAGTGGAACCAGCATGGCAGCGCGCGCGGCGGGCGGCGGCGCGCCGTTTTTGGTCCGTTGCGGCGCCATGGCCGCGGCGTCCGGCGGCGTGACCCGGGTCTCACGCGCCAGGTCAGCCGCGGCGAGCGGTCGAGCCCGGCCCGGCCGCAGTCCGGCGGCGCCCACCGGACCGCGGCCGGCCGAGCCGATGCCCGGCCAACCGGAACACGCCGAGACAATGCCCGCTGGACCGCAGAGCTCTGGAAATGTGTCTGCTGGTCCCGTCTCCGAACAGGCGTCTGCTGACCCGGCGAACTCCGGGTACGCGTCAGTTAGCTGGTTTATTCGGAACCGGTGCGATTACTAGAAAATGTTGCACCGACGTTGCGATTACCGGGCAGGCCCCTAGCCACTGAGATGACCAATGGTGCACCGATGTCCACCGAGGTGGAGAGCAGTGGCCTGATGACGCTGAACGACGGTGCTCCACAGCTGTCCACCTCACCTGAGGGGGCTGAACCCAATCCACTGAATCGGTGGATGTTGGCCCCTGAACGCACCTCCAGAAGAAAGTGTTGCGCCCGCAGCCAAGCCCCTGAAGCCTTGGTACGGTTTTTTATTTTGTTTACAGCACACTCACACATACGTGCCTGCTGGGGTAGAAAGCTGCACGCAGCTTTGGACGCTGACCGTACCTGAAGATCGCAGATTCAATGCAGCACCGTCCTTGAGTGCAAAGCACATTCTCTACTTATTTAAAAAAGGGAGCTAAAGAATTCACTGTCACTGCTGTAACTCGTGTTCTCATGTTGGTTCGATTGCTGCTTTCGGGAATTGATGTCCTCCACAAATAACAGATATGTTCTGGGCAGGTCTGTCTGATGTCCAGTGCATGCGTCAGCATCATGCAAGATGAAAGGATCCGGTGCACGAAACAAGTTTTGTAATTGCAGTTCTCCTAAAATAACCAGCAGCCTATGATTCAGATTGTGAACAGCCTTTCAGCCCCACCGACTCCCAACTAAAATATGGTCATTTCTGCGCTCCACGCTTGGTCCGAAAGCGATGGGTCGGCACTTTGCCAATGAAAGTACCGCTACGATTTAGCCAACAAGACTGGAAGCTTGAAACACCCTTGCCATCATCGTTTATTGGGCCCCGTAGGTCTCATGCAAAGGCCAAAACCTTGCAGAAGCATTACAACGTAGGAGAAAACTTCTGGCAAAAACGAAAGTGCCGAATGAATCAGAACAGTGTGCAGTAAATATTAAAACATTTAAATTTCAAAAACGGTTCTTCAATGGCCCTAGCACCGGTCATGCCACTGGCCAGTGTCTGCGTTACATCCGGATTACATTCAGATAGAATCAGACGCATGCTGTTAAACTCGCAGAGACTGTTTTTTTTTTTGTTTTTTTTTCGTTTCTGAGACTCAACTCGTGTGCTCGAGTCCCATCGTTCATCGCTGGTGTCAGCGCTTGCTCTGTACAATCATGCAAATGATCTGAGCCCACGACACGCCACGGACCTGGGTCAGGGCGCAGGGCTAGTGTCTCGAAAGAGGGGAGGGAGAGGGAAGGGCAAGGACCTTGCGTGTTCCCACGGCGATAGTAACAATATTACAACCGTACCGTAATGACACGCCGGCGATCCGTCGCGTCGTCCCGCCCCCCTCCCGAGCATCAAACCGAACCCCAGACTGTCCGCTGCCGCCCGGCGCCCAATCCTAGCGACACCCGTGGATCCATGCAGCGCCTCGAAGCCTGGCTCCGTCTCGAGGCCCGGCTCGGCCGCAAAGCCCAGCTCCGCCGCTAAGCCCGGCTCGGTCGCGAAGCCCGGCTCCGTCTCGAAGCCTAGTTCCGCCTCGAAGCCCGGCTCGGCCGCGAAGTTCGGCTCATCCGCGAAAGCTCGGCGCTCCGGCCCGGGGGCTGCGGGCGGCGCCTACTGCGTCCATTAGCCGGACCGAGCGGGCGCTCGCGCGGTGATTTTTCTCGGGCCGCGGCGCTGGCGCCGTCCGCCAGCCCCTCCCTTTTAATGTCGGCCGCTGCAGTGGGCCGTGGGCTGTTGTTGTGGGCCGGGCCGGCGGCCGGGCCGGCGGCGGCCGTGCGCGCCCGGGCCGCCCCCTAATTGGCCGGCGCCGCCGCCGCCCGCGTGGGCCCGCTCTGCCGTCCCGGGAAGCATGCGGAAATCCCTGTAATTGCTATCTGGGCGTGCGGTGATGTATGCGCAAGGTTCGGCTGTTAATGGCGGTGGCGTCACGATTTCACGCAGAGGCGGCGTTCAATGGCCGCGCGCGCCCCAGAGAGGGTGGGTAACAGAGCCGTTTGCCAAACTGGGCGCGAAATAATATTGGAAACAAGACCGGCGAAGATTGGTTCGAGTGGGCCGCGGCGGAACGCGAGCCGCGTTCAGTTAGACACGTGGTGCTCGACGGCCGAAGGTCCCTGTCAAGTGTGGACGCTACCCGCAGACTGACACAACCGGAACTTCTTGATATCCTGCGCACGTATTTGAATCGTGAGCGCTTAGCAAATGCCTCCAGCAAGACTGCGTTTAGGTCAGATTGGCCTCGCGGTGCTGGTCACGTCTTCATTAAGCCCGAACACCTGACGAGCGCCGGCAATATATGTCCGGCTGACGTCAGCTGGTAGGCAAGTGAAAGTGGCCGATGGTTGAATTTATCTGCTCGGGCCGGACGTGGGGCTTCCGCGCCGTCCCTTTGCCTCAGCTGCTGGTCAGCTGCCGAGGTGAGCTGGCAGTTATGGGCGAGCCGTCCGAGTGGGTTGGCTTAATTCAGACTTCAGATCAGTTACTGGTGTTGTTATCGAACTATGTCAAGCTAGTGTGTATACGTACGGACAGCTTAGCACTTCCCATCACACCAATATAGGCTGGAAATTGCGAACAAAACTGATGGGCGTATCATGCGCCCTGCTTTACAGAGTTCTGAATCACCTCGAACTTGATCGTCAAAAAACATTAATGCGGACTTCTGACGTTTTCTAAGCGTCGCTATAGCTGGAATCACTGGCGCTGCTGCGGAGAACATGGATGCAAATCAGCCGTCTCGTGAACAACTGCAGCGCGGCCCCGTTGCTGAGTTCTACAGCTGCCGCGGGCCAGGTGTATGCCCACGTGGCGGTGGTGCCTCCACAAAAACCATGTGTCGATATCGACATTGCACGTTACATTCACAGCTGTGGCAGCACCGCTGAGGTTGCAACATGTGCAACAGGGCAGGCCCAAGTGAACCTCGCCTAAAAATCGATCCCGACATCGCGCTGTGCAGCTGCGCAGCTCTGTTTGGGTACAGTGTGCAGTGTGCAGCGTAAGTTAGGTCCATTCGAAGGCCCGTGCCAGCGTAAGATGCGGGTTGCGGTGAGCTCAGTACATCATGGCCTCTTTGATCACGTGCAGTTGTAGTTCACCGTCATCCAGATCCTTCTCAGAATTGCAGGGCACCAAAGATGGCAAAAACTCGTTGTTTTCTAACCTGTAAGGTTAAAACTCAACTGCACACATGAGTTGCTAGATGGACGTGTCCGAATTCAAAAGTGAAGTTATTTTTAAAATATCCTTGCGTTGTTCCATTATTAGCGAATTGGACTCACGGAATGTATTGCACGTGTACTTATGTACATCTACTTCAAACGCATCAAGTTGATATAGGTATCGGCTTCAGTCAACAAAATAAAGTATATCTAACCAGCCTGGTCGCCAGACTGCTACATTGGTGCGCGGTGCGGCAGTCTGCAAGCACAGCGAACGTCCCAAAACTATCCCTAAGCAACCGCATTCGTCACAGGCAATCGGGCTGTGGCTTTGCGCGATGGAGATTCACGCCTGGATGGAGAGGCAAAAGTCGGCAAAAGGCAAAACGCAAAGCCACAGTGCCTCCGCGCGGCGAATTTGGGCGGGTGCTGGGATTGCAGCCGCTGTCAGCCATACTTGTTGTCAAGACGGCTTTTGGCAAAGCATATAGGCACGAGCAGCTTCGCATGACAAATACCTTCAGATTGTTTTACAACGTATGGTTTTGAATGGATCATGACGCTATTGAAGGGGTACTCTAACCTATGAGGTTAAAATTCGACTGCCCACATGAGTTACTAGATGGACATGTTCGAATTCAAAGGTGAAGTTATTTTTAAATATCCTTGCGTCGATCCAGTGCTAGTGAATTGGACTCATGTAATTTATTGCACGTGTACTTATGTACATCTACTTCAAACGCATTAAGTTGATATAGGTATCGGCTTCAGTCAACAAAATAAAGTATATCTAACCAGCTTGGTCGCCAGACTGCTACACTGGCGCGCGATGCGGCAGTCTGCAAGCACAGCGAACGTCCCAAAACTATCCCTAAGCAACCGCATTCGTCACAGACAATCGGGCTGTGGCTTTGCGCGATGGAGATTCACGCCTGGATGGAGAGGCAAAAGTCGGCAAAAGGCAAAACGCAAAACTACAGTGCCTCCGCGCGGCGAATTTGGGCGGGTGCTGGGATTGCAGCCGCTGTCAGCCATACTTGTTGTCAAGACGGCTTTTGGCAAAGCATATAGGTGCGTGCATCCTATGAAAGATACCTTCAGGTTGTTTTACAGCGTGTGGCTAATGGCAATGGCGGCCCACAGGTCAACTGTGACATCACCGGCTTGATAAAGTCGAAAACTATCACAACAGTGTTGGCTGGTATCTTACTTTGTTCGACGCCATTGAGCAGTGGGATGGAATTACAGGTGATTACTGGTCCCACTATTTCATTTCAGTAGGTTTTTGGAACAGGCTCCAAGGTCAGACCATTCCTTTGACGGAGCTTCAGCCACGAACCTCTCCCTCAATCACACAGGGTATGCACTTAAAAGGCAGTCATTTTTAATGATAACCACCATCATTCATCGAAGATAATGTTACGTGTTCCTTCCACGACGACAAGAGACTGCAATTACATCACCTGCAGTCTGATGAAATATGGAGGATGCACACGCTCATCTGCAAAGCGATCCTTGACATTACGCATGCGCACTGAGAAATGCAGATGACAGCTCAAGATTCAAACCGCACACCACTGAGACATTTATGCTGCAGCTGAGCGCGGAAGCTCAGTGAAACAGGCATTAGCCATGTCCCCCATGATACGGCCCATCAGCAATCAACTTTCTAGAGCCCATCCATCTTGCGGGGCAGCAAACTCGTGCTTCCTTTAATGAGCGAAAATGCATAATGACCGGGCTGCCGCCACGTCACCGCCTCCCACCCTATCCGGCGCCGGCCGCCCGCCCGCCTGCCGGGTCACAATGCACGTGCAGGTGCCGCCCGCGGTCCGCCCCAACTACTGAGCTTCCGCCCCGCGGCCCGGCCGGCGCGGCGTAATGACAGCCGGCCTGGGCCTCGAACGGTTCGCGGAAAGCGACATCAAAGTCGCGCCGCCGGGCGGGGTCAGTCGTCGGGGTCAGCGCGAGCGGCGCGACGCGCAGCACCGCCAACTATGTCTTAATAGACGGTACCGCCGCGACCGGCCGACGGCGGCGCGCTGCGATTTGTGGCGGGCTTCGCCACCGGTGCCGCCTGCCGGGACGTCGAACGGCCGTCAAAAGCTTGGCTACACGTGTGGTGGCTGTCTGGCACGCGCGCGCTGGGGGCTCAGGGGCGAGATGCCTGACGAGATGCACTGTGGGATGTCAAGTGGTTGCCTCAGCGCGTTTTGACTGCTGGAAGGAACTGCCTGGACTTTTTAATGCGACTCAAAGTGTGGCTAGGTACCATCATGACATTGTGTGCATTGCAAAATCTTGTCATGCACAAAGGACCAGGGGATATGGGCGTCGGGATGAAAAAGACCACGGCCATAGCCAGGGGGAGGATCGGGGGCTAAGCCCCTCACCCTTCCCGAGTGAAGAGTGTTACGGTAGATACCACGCGATTTAATCAAAATTTGGTCCACATTCGCAGGATATTGGTGTCAATTTAAGGCACGCACCAATGGCGATTGGCTCTCAGATATGAGTGGCCCATCCCAGCACTATGAAAATCAGAAACCCTTGGCGATAGATTGCTCTTCGAAACGCCACTGCCTGAAGACATTTCATACAGAAGTCCTTTACATATCTGGAAATGTTTCTTTGCATGCCCTAATAACGACCGCTGAGCCAATTTCAGTAATGACGTGGCTTGAATATTTCATACTCTGGAGTCCTTACTTTATGATGGAGCGTAACAATGCTAACGAAGGCATCGTTACAACAACCACACAAAGCAAGTGACTGCCGTCACCGAGGTGTGAATAAAAGAAGAGCCTTTAACCGTGCAGATAAGTCATACCGTAGTCGAAGAGCTGCCGTGATGCCTCGAGCGGGGAGAAGACAACCTTCAGGGAGAAAGGCGGCAGCTCATCTAGCGAAGTTTAGCCCAATGACGTCATCCCCAAACCGGACTGTTCAGGTTCAGTTAAGGCCTCATTCGCTCTGAGACGCCGCAGGCACACAGACCGGCGTCTGGTCTGATCTGGCCGACATCTGCCGTCGCCCCCTCCCCCCGGCGTCTCCCCGCGCAGGGACGGGGGAGGGGCAGCGGCCGCCATCAGAGGTGCCCCCGTGGGTGGTCCGCCGCCCGGCCGCCGCCCGCACTCTGCGCCAATCACCACTCCGCCGCGTAATTGCTACCGATGTCAGCACGCTGACGTCATCCCCAAGGTTTCCTGGTCGACGGAAGGACACCGCGATGAGCCCGGAGGTGCGGGCGAGCGGTTTCTATTGTAACATGCGTGCAGGGCGTCGCATCGCGGCTGTCGGGTTCGGATGGTAAAGTGGTGATGATGCGGACGTTATCCGATGTTTGAGGCGACGCCCGCCAAGCTGTGATATATAAATGTCTCACAAATCACCGTCTAGACATTGCCAAGCAGCGATGATATTGCCAAAAAGCCCCG